CCAGCTTTTCTTACTGGTGTGTTCCAAGGGGATCGAACGGCGTGTTCCAAGGGGATCGAACGGCGTGTTCCAAGGGGACTGACCAGAATTCCAGCCTCCCGGAGGTGGCAGATATATACAGCTATGCCTTTTCATGCCTCTTGGGAGATGGGGTACTGACATACCTGGACGGGACTTGCCTGGCTTTTTAGTTGCACCACTACCAGAGGTCAGTGGCTTTCCAATCCCGACAGGTTGGTTTCGGCCCAGATGCCCAGGAGCTCACACCATAGCTGGGTTAAGAGCTCTGTGTCTGGTATGGGTCATTTCCCTTCTGCCAGTATGTACTTCTCTCGGAGGGGCACTGTTACTAGAATCTTAGCTGGCTCCTGGAAGTTTACTGTCACTGTGGCTTCCTGGAATTCTATATTAGCTTTGAGTTTATGTAAAAGGTCTTGCCCTAAAAGCGGGAATGGGCAGTCTGGTATTACCAGGAATGAGTGAGTTATTTTTCCATTTCCCAGATTTACAATTCTTTCAGTGGTCCAGGGGTGTGACCGAGTTCCAGTCACTCCCTGGACCAGGGTATATTTATCTCGGAGTGGACCATTGAGTCTTTGTAGAACTGAATGCTCAGCTCCTGTATTCTCTAGAAAATGGATAGGGTCACCCCCCACCGTAAGTTTGACCCTGGGCTCCAGGGGTATTTACAGAGCCCCGGCCCCATCAGTCAGAGTTTAATTGGAATACAGGAGTCAGTTCTTGCAGCTCCGAGTTAGGAGGGGGCCCTGTTTGTCCTTTCAATTTGTCCAGGCAATCCCTCCACCAATATCCCTTCTTTTTGCAGCGGGCACAAAGATCTTTGTGACCTTTTTTGATCTTTGTCTAAGGGAGCCCTTCTCCTATGCTTCCCCACACACTTTTCTTCCAAGGCTGCTACCATAACTTTGGCTAATCTTTTGGCTTGTTTATCCTCGAAGGAATCTCTGCTGTTAAAAACCTATGAGCTAACTCAGTTAATTCTGATAGGCTTTTCCCTTTGAAACCTTCAATTCTTTGTAATTTTTAATGTATATCAGGGGCTGACTGGGAAACGAATGGTATAACCAATGCCCTCTGGTTTTCTGGGGCCTCTGGGTCTATCAGAGTGTATGTCACATAGGCCTCCATGAGGCGCTCCTGGAAGGCAGTGGGAGACTCCTGTGGACCCTGTGTAATTTCACTAACCTTGGACAAATTTGTGGGGCACCAGGCGGCAGCCTGGAGATACCCAACAGAGTCCAGCAAAAGATGGTGAGACACTCCCTACTGTGGTCAGTGTTAGGGTCCCAGCTCGGCCAGTCAGAGGGGAAGACACGCTCCAGGAGCTCATGCTCAGCAGGTCGGCCATCAGGCCCCAGGATCAGCTTCCTCACCTCCTGCTGGATTCGCTCTCTTCCTTCTGCAGTGAAGAGAACCTGGAGGAGCTGCTGGCAGTCATCCCACGTGGGCTGGTGTGTATAGAAAAGAGTTTCTAAAAGAGAAATAAGGGCTTGGGGCCTGTCAGAGAATGGCAGATCTTGATGTTTTCAATTATATAAATCGTTAGTAGAGAAGGGGACATAGACCATGAAGGGCTGGGGTCCTGTTCCAACTAGGTCCGCCCCCATGGCCTGTTGAAGGGGGAGGTCCGCCCCCATGGCCTGTTGAAGGGGGAGGTCCGCCCCCATGGCCTGTTGAAGGGGAAGGTCTCCCCCATGGTGTTCAATAGTTGAATCCGCCCCCTTGGGAGTGTTGAGGTTCTTGGTGGGCAGCTGGTTGAGAATAAGGCCCAGTGGCCCAGGAGGGGTCTGGTATGGGGAGCCACTCCTAGTATGTGCAGAACTAAGGACTTCCTGTTCTTGGGCATCTTGCCTATACCCCACCCCCAAATATGGCGGGTGGGTTTCTCCTCATCCTCTGCTGGTTCCTGGAGGATGGGGGATTTAGCTTCCCATAGGGCTAAAATATGGGAGGGGTTATTCTCAGCCTTTCTCATCCAGGTGGGACACTGCAAAATAAGAATGTACCAGGCAGTGACGTACAGAATTTGGTCAGGGTGGTACCGGTAGACAATTCGCTGGACTCTCTCTACTATTGAGGGGTAAAAGATTCCCTCCAACAGCCAGCTACAGTTTGCAAATTTGGGCCATTCAAGGGAGCAGAGGGTGGTGGTCAGTTTCCCTTTAAGCACTCGATCTCCCGACTGCCTGGCAGTATTTTGGAATTCCTTAAAATGATATAGAACCAATTCCAGGGGGTTGCAGGGCTTGGACTCCCGCTGTCCCATACTTTCAACTGCAGCTATGACAATTAAGGTTACAATGGCCACAAACACAAAACACAGCAAGACAAAGACACACAGAGAACAGGTGGACCTAATGGTCCTTGGGAGATATTGGACACTGAGCTGATCCGTTAATTGGTCGCCTGAACCTCTTTCAGCTCCTAACTTAAACGATAACTGGCCACCCTGAGTTCCAAATGGGAAACAGTAATCACCAAAACAACAGACACTGAGCCCAGTCACCAGTCAGTCGCCTGAGCCTCTTTCAGCTCCTGACCTATCTGATGGTTGGCCACTCAGGGCGTCAGATGACACACCAAGACAAGGGGCACTGGGCCTAGCCACCGATTGGCCCCCTGAGCCTCTTTTGGCTCCAGAGCCTGCCTCAGCTCCTGGCCTATCGAACGGTTGGCCACTCAGGGCCCCAAACCAGAGGACCCGGTGACATCTCACCAGGACCTTGGACTCTGGAATTACTGCTGCATCCAGCTTTCCTGAGAGTCCAACCCAGAGTGTGCACTACCACAGACCAAAACAGACAGAAAACAAGACAAAACGAGAACCTGACTTACCTCTCTGAGTGCTCCAAGGCAATGTGAGCCTGCCAGGGACGGCTCAGCAGCTCAGGAGATTGCAGGCTAGCAAGCTCACAAGGCCAGTTGGCTCAAAGGACTGTGAATTAAGTACTGGAAACATCCCAGATGAGCCCCCAGATGAAATGGGGTCTGAGCATTTAATTCAGGCGCCAACACACGATTTAACAAAGGGAGAGGTTTATTGGTCAGGTTCTCCAGCTGACTGGGATGCTCGCTGGACAAAGACAGAAAGCGAACGCCCCTGAGCCGTGGCAAACGCTGCTTTTAGATAGGCTAGAGCCCACCCACATTGCAAGCCCGGAAAATTTAAACACACCAATCACATAGTGCCAGCAGGGTTCACAGAAGCAAAGTGAGCAGGTTAGTTAAGTTACCGTAGTTGCTCAGCTTCTTTCAGATAAGGTACCGCCTAGAGAGGTGCGCATTCTAGTCCAAATAAGGCATATCCTAGAGGCCCTTCCTGGAGGCGCATTTCAGCTGGGTGACATTATGCAGCGTTACAAATTCGACATTACCGTATAGCACCTAATATGTGGGGCAAAAATTCACTACGTTTTACATTACATAGGGAATTGAAATACAAAAACTTTTGACATATCACAGAATTCGAAATTCATTACCTCTTAACAAAATTCATTATCTCTTAACAACTAGGTTCCACAGAGATAAAGCATCTACTGGCGCAGCTGTAGGACTGTGCACTTGATAATAATCCTTCAAATGACTACCTACTTTTTCCCAAGTAATCAGATTAACCATTCCAGCCTCAGGAAGCCAGGGACATACTTCCTCTACAAACTGCAAAAATCTATCTAATTGTCTATCTGAAAACTTAGTTCCTCTAACTTTCAGCAGATTTCAATATCTGAAGAAAGAGAATGTATTCCTTAGAATATAAATGTCCCATGTTTTACTCCCAATGATTAATCCTTTCCCTCAATTACTTACTCATGAATTGCAATGCTGCACACAAAAAATGCCAGCCTCCATGAGGGTTCCTCTCCAGCCAATGTCAATCCCCAGTATTCAGGTCCCTGTTTGGGTGCCACTTGTGAGGGACTGGACTCTACTGATCAGGTCCTGAGTTGGGGGAGGGAATGAGAAAAGAGAAAGAGAAACAGTGGGATTAGGAGGGTCCTCTCCCAAGTAGCTGAGAGCAAGAGAAAACTACTTTATTTTACTGTATGCCTCTTATATAGGACAAAAATCTCACAAAGGAAGGCAAAACCATACAAGCAGGATATGTTAATGTCTGAGTTAAATCACACAAGCAGGGTAAGTATCAATGACTAAACTATGCATATCTTAACATCTATGCTAAGTAGGGCAATCACTTAGGATGAGAAGGTTCCGGGCCAGATTTGGCACCACTTGGCTATCCATAACCAAAAGTTCAGGGGAGATAAAGGAAAATGTAGGCTTAGTTCCTTGTACATAAGCCAAAGAACACAAGGACTCTGTCAGCTTTTGTTCTTGGTTTCCTTCAGGAGAGGCTGAAGTGGGAGGACCCCTTGATCCCAGGCAGTCGAAGCTATGGTGAGCCACGATCATGCCACTGCACTCCCACCAAGAACAGAGTGAGTTCGAGTTTCAAAAAATAAAAAAGACAAAGTGACCACACTTTGTGGTCACTTAATTCATTGTGAATTATCTAATCCTATTTTACACTGATGGCTGTTATCTTTTGGTGTTTGTTTATTTCACTGTGTTCTTCACCATGTCTAAGAGGTAAGGAAGTAGTGATTAGGGGTACAGAGTTTTTCATTTGGTGAAGGTGAAAGACTTCTGGGGATGCACTGAGGATATGGTTGTACCATAGTGTGAATATACTGAATGGCAAGATATCTGTACACTTGAAAATGGTTAGATGGAAAATTTTATCTTATATATTCTTAACCACAATTTTAAAAAAGTTGTCAAGAAGTTTTTTTTTAAAAAGATAGGATACATCCATTCTTGGAGTTTTCTATCATGTAGATATCATGGGGTTTCCAATAACACAGGGCATTTTTGAAACAGTTTATATTCCACATAATGCTCATGGAAGATTTATTGTTTTCTCTCTCTCAGAAATTGAGATAACTGATGATCACCTGTGGCAGCACTTGTGAGACAAAAAAATGCTGAAAGGACTGAAAAAAGGCTATAAGCATGGAGAAACTTTGAAATCATATTTAGATTTAACCAACCAGAGCAGAAGATACAACATAAAGGAATCTGCTGAGCTTAATGGAGATGGGAAGACCTTCCTCCATGACAATCATGAAGAAACTCATACTGAAGTGGAATCCTGTGACAATAAAATGCTCATCAGCACTAAGTCACAGTTTTGTAAACATCAGCAAGCACACAATATAGACACAGCCCATGAATGCACTGAATGTGGAAAAGCTTTCCTCAAGGAGTCTCAGCTCACGAGCATGAGAGAATTCATATGGGAAAGAATCCCATGGGTGTAGTATACGTGGAAAATCCTGATACAAAAAGCGCAGACTCACAAACTTCAGAGAACTCACAAAGGGGAGAAACCCCATGAGTGTAGTGAAAGTGGGAAAAGTTTCTCTAGAAAATCCCTGCTCATTTTATGTCAGCGAATTCATACTAGACAGAAACCTTATACAAACAGGGAATGTGGAAAAGGCTTCATCCAAAAGGGTAATCTCCTTATACATCAATGAACTCACACCAGAGAGAAACCCTATACATGAAGTAAGTGGGAAAAAAGCTTCATCCAGAAGGGCAATCTCCTTATCAATGAACTCACCCTGGAGAGAAACCCTATGGCTGCACTGACTGTGGCAAGGCCTTCAGCTAGAAGGCTTGCCTCATAGCACATCAGAGGTACCACACAGGACAGACTCCCTTTGATGTTCTGAATGTGGACAGACCTGTTTGCAGAAGTCCAGGCTCTTTAGACACCAGAGAATTTACTCAGGAAAGGAACTCTATAAATGCAGTGACTGTGGGAAAGCCTTCATTACAAAGTCAATGCTCATCTTACATCATTGAACTCATACAGGAGAGAAGCCCTATGACTGTGACAAGTGTGAGAAAGCATACTCCTACATATCTTGCCTTGTTAAAGATAAGAAAACACATACAAGGGAGAAACATGGAATTTCAGTGAAGGTGGACGGTTCTTCCACAGCAAGTCACAGCGTATTAGACACTAGTGCACTCATGCAGGAGGAAATCCCTATTAATATAGTGACTGTGTAGATACCTTGTGTGACTCCTCAGGCATCATCAAGCATCAGTAAATGAGTCCCTTGAAGGCTGGAAAATAGTCCTTGTGGGATAGTCAGTTGCCAGATGCATATCCACAGGAGATAACAGAGGATTTGCACGTGACAGAAATCTCATAAATGTAGTGAATGCAGTCATGCCCTCAGTAGTCCATTACATCTTTCATGTTACAAATACATAGCTAAAAACTACACATTTAATGTGAAAAGACTTGAGCAGAAGTGTCTAGGGATGATTTGGTTAAGTATCAACTCTGAAATCCTTTGAATGAAGAAATTAGGAAAGCCTTTTTCAGTAGAGGGACCTTGTTATCAGTGACCACCATGGGTTCACAGTGAGCTCATAGTGACTAAAAATATAATGGCTATGGAAATGTCCTTGTCCTCAAGAGGTATCAGTACATATTGGAGATAAAACTGACATCAGTGAATGTGGCAGGGATTCCAGTGATACATTCTTCCTCATGCATTAGCAGCTGATAGAGTGAACACGCTAACTGCAAAATGACTTTAGCTAAATAGTAACGTATTTTTGCATCAAAGAAGTCTTGCGAAAATGTTTAAGAGCTTCCTGTTCCATTTCTAACCTTATACATCAGATATTATACCAGGTATATATTTTTGGACATGATACCTTGAGCCGCATTCCTATTTATTGTATTAATGATTCCATAATTAAAGAAGATAGTCTCTGTTCCACATCACTGATTACGGTTATCACATTATGATCACTTCTCCCATTTGTGGATTCTTTTCCTTTTTTCTTCTAATTATCTTCAATGCCTACCTAAGATTATATGATGATTTCCCATTACATTTCTTTGACTCTAAGCATAGTTAAATATTATTTCAGAAAACTGAAGTCCTTTTTAAAAAAGGGTATGGGAGAGGACCAAGCTGCTGGAATTCCTCTAGTGGTGACAGAGACATCTAATCTTTCCATTCATGTGTGCAATGTGGTCAGACATGTCATGTTTGTACAGGATATGACTTCTCTTCTGGACTGGAAAATGGAGGCTGAGAAGTTTGGGTCAATGAAAGGACTGGCACAGACTGCATCCCTACATGAGCTTAGCTCAACCCCTATCTAATAGGTAGCAAACACTTGATGCCCCAAGAGAGTTGGTGGGAAGGACAATAATCTGTCAATCTGCTTTTTTCCACAAGGACATGGCATCAGAGACCTGGAAGCATAATGCCTTCCTAAGGTTCTCCCCATTGTCACCTCTGTGAGTAATCAGACGAAGACTGGATATCCCATACTGGACCTCCGTCACCTAGTAGAGTGACCCTCTCATTCTACTAGTGATAAAACACACCAGTATTTATAAAATACACACAGTGTATGAGGGGGATATCCTCCTCTGAAAGAAAACCCCAGAATGTTCTTTTGCAGGGCAGGTCCCTTGTAGTACATGCTTTCCTGGTAAGTATTCTAGGAACCCAACAGTTTTTATCTGGAAGTCCTGAGTAGGTTGTGTCATGATTTGTGGAAGAAATGTCCTGAGTAGTGGTAGACAGGTGACTGGTTCTTCCACCATAACATCACACCTCTCCACATGGTTCTGAGTGTTCAACAATTTTTGACTACAAATGGCATGACCCCTGTACTCTGCCCTTCCTATTCACACACTCTTGCCTGAGCAAAATTTGTTTCACCAGATGAAAAATTTCCTCAGAGTGGAACATTTTGCCAATGTGGAAGAGGGGAAACCAAAACACAAGCACTATAAGGCATCAAAAGCGATGAATTCAAAAGCTGTTTTGAGCATCGGAAAAAATGTCTCGATAGGTGTATGATATCAAATGGAGAGTACTTGATGATGTACTTTTAAATATGTAAGAAATACACATTTTTAATAAATCCCAGGTTTGGGGGAGTGCCCTCTCATATACCAACAGAACCCAAATCCTGGCTTACCAAGTGAGGATTTGGCACCCACCATCTGAGTATGTACCACATTTGATTACATGAGGAGTGTCCCAGTGGCAATGATGGAAATGAGGACTGAACTATTGCTCACCACCTGCAGGCTTCAGGAATGATATTGTATGGAGAAACAGCCCGTGTGACAGGGTGAGACTTGGCTAGCAAAGGCCAATGGCCTATATACCTATAAAGGAACCATTGAGTAATAAAACACCAAAAAGGTGCTGTGTGCACCTGAGGGATACCTCTCTATGGGTAGTGTGGGGATTTCCCCAGTACCAGATGGACAGTGCCGTACCTGAACAGTTGGTGGATGGTAGGATCCCCCATTTAGGCTTGCCCCTGGATATCATCCTGGGAATTAGGCATACAATGGCCAGAGGCATAAAGCTGTATGCCACCAGACTTACTAGGGACCTGTCATAAACCTGGGTTTATGTTCTTTCTGATGTCTTTAGTAGCATACATAGGAATCAGTGCTTATGAAAATGTTAAGATACCTGCCCCAGGCCATGGCAGATATCACCACTATACTGTCTTGGCAGTCCAACAGACACCCCTCAACTCCTTTAGGAAGATTGACTTAGACTTTTCCTTTAGCCCAACTGGTAGGAGTGTGTGTAACTGCCACCACCTCTTGCTATATCTGCATAAATCCCTCAGGTATTATTAAAACAAAAGTGGAGAAAAAGTAGAAGCAGGCTTAGAAATCTCTGCTAAATAACCAGTTTTATTGTTCACTGGCTCTGCCTTCCAGAATATACTAGAACAGGATCCAGCAGAGGTCATTGCCACCTTATAACAGGGATGGCCTTTCCTCCAGGTTCCAATAAACTGTTCCTCAATTTCAGCCGTGATCTCCCCAGAATGACTATTATTGACCATATTTCTACCAATATTCTGTTCAGACTTAACTGTTTTTTTCTCCATAATGACCTAAGCTTTCTCCCTAGCTCTCCTGTTTTCTTGCAAGTTCTCAGTAGTATTGTTTTTAAATATCTATATTTCTACCCTCGAAATTTGACATTTTTGTTAATTTAAGTGTATTTCCAACCTTCCACCGGATACAAAAATGTACTCAAAGCAGATAAAAGACTTATTAAATGTAAAAGAAAGCGGCAAAATTTTTGAGAAAAATCTGTTACACAGCACTAGGTGAAGAGTTCTTTGACGTGACACCAAAAACATTCCTCCTTAAATTTAAAAATGCATTAGAATTCATATAAAAACGTAAAAAGTTTGCTTTGAGGATGATCCTAGTAAGAAGATTAAAAGATCATCCATATACTCAGAAATAAATATTTGCGAATCATCACCCTCGGGACTGACTCCTTCCTCGGAGGTTTCCCTGAATCTTAGGCAAACGCTGCATTCCTCCATAAAGTCCCCTCCAGTGTTCTTGGGGATCGCAGCCCCTCCACGTGTTGCTTGAGGTGCCTTCCCTGGAAAGTCCTCTACGATCCCTGCGCCCACCTGGCTACCCATCCTCCTAGGATCAAGGTGCCCGAAAGTCCGTAGCCATCTCTATCCAGCCTGCAGATTCTCAGGCCGAATAGTTTTGGCAGTGCCCCGGCGCATGTTAGAAAGTCAAGATCTAGTATTTCCACTGGCTTAAAAAAACCAAACAACAACCAAAAAAAAAAACCCAAACAGGGTGATGGGATCATTTTCAATCGTTTCTCACGGTCAGCGCCTTTCCGTAGGCGGAGGATCGGGGAAACTGCCAGTCAAACGGAGGTAGGCTTCAAAATGGCGGCTACCTGCGAGTATCCATACTCTGGGGCTCAGACTTATTACGTCATAACGGGACGTCTGCGCGCCGAATCCGCGGCTCTGGAGCGAAGGCTTTCTGGCCCTCGCTGGCCGCCATCTCTGTGCTTGTCCAGTGTCTGCTCAGTCCAGCAAGAAGTAGATCGCGGTGCTGCATGGAGACAAGTGTTGAGAAAAGTGGGTTTTCTGTGACTCGTCTCCAGCTGGTTGGAGACAGGGATCATCCGTCACGTCTGTGGTGGGTTTGGACAGTGTTCTGTGACTAGGCAGAGCGCGGTTTTGCTGCTGTTGTTGCTGGCTGGCGCTTGGGAATCCCCGTGGCGGAGTGGGAATCCTCGCGGGGCGAGGTCCTTTTTTTTTTTTTTTTTTTTTTTTTTTAATTGAGTCAGAGTGTCACTCTGTCGCCCAGTCTGGAGTGCAGCGTCACACTCACGGCCACCGCAGCCTCGACATGCTGGGCTCAGACATCCTTCCGCCTCAGTCTTCTAAGTACCTGGAGCCACAGGCTCGTGCCACTACGCCGGGTTAATTTTTGTGATTTATTGTGGAGACGAGGACTCGCCACCTTGCCCAGGCTGGTCTCGAACGCGCGGGCTCAGGCAGTCCTCTCTCCTCCGCCTCCCAGAGTGCTGAGATTACAGCCATGAGCCCCCGCACCTGGCTGTATGATCGGATAGGGCTTACGTGGAGGTGGGGCGGGGGCATTGTTGAAATGTCTCATTGTGCTAATGTCGCATTGCTTAAGCGAAGACCTGTTTTCCTTGCTAGCACCTGCTTTCTCAAGGTCACCTCTGAAGTCTGCGTAACCACCAGCACCTGCTTCCTCAGAACTACATGTACTACATGACGACCAGACGTCAGCAACGGGGTATAAGACGGACCCACAAAAAAACAAGGTGATGGTTCTTCTTTAGGGCTTGTCTCCCTCTCATTTCCTTTTAATATATTTTCTTTTCTTTGCCTAACTATCCAGCTCGTTCTCTTTTTCTCCACACTAACCTCATATGTTCTATTGAACATTTTGCTTTCGGGTTCATTCTGATCCAAGTAATGCAATCTCCGTCATCCTAAATACTCAGTGTATTTCATGTTTCATGTTGTGATCAAGTATATAGGTATTGGTATAATTCTATGCCTATGTTTTCTAACATCTTACTAACTACATATTTAAATATTACACACTCTTTGAAAGTTTTTCTGTTTTTTTCCTTAAACTACCGCAGTTATATTCCACCAAGTGGGTGCCTTAAATTGGGCAGAAGTGATGTAGATCTAGGTCTAACACTTTCTCTAAGTCAAGTTTTTTCCTCTTTGACTTGTAGTATTTTTCCATTCCTGTCTTGGACATTTTTGGTTATGGTTATTTCTACATAGTTTTTATACTTCTGATGTAATTGTAAATGATGTCTTTTCTTTTTTTTTTTGCATAAGGCCCCACCTCCTCTTTTTTTGTTTCTTCTGTGTTGGAGATCACTGCTCTGCATGAACTCTCCTGAAAATATACTTGGTTTACTAGCAAAGTTACAACCAGCCAAGAATGCCTGTAATAGCAAAGCCAGATAGGCATGTGTGCTGAGGCAACTTCTAAAGTGCAGTGTCTCTTTTGTTAGAATAGTTAAGAAGTTATACATTTTCTTGCAAGTAGTTGCACTATATCTTGCAAACTGTCACACTTTGTCATGAAAGCCTCCTAAGACCAAAATAGGGAGTTTTCTTTGCACTGTCTATACTTTGTCCTCGAAGGCTTCCTTAACTGTATCATTTTGTAGTAATAAAAGTCTGGTGGGTAAGAAACTGGGGACCATTGCTCCTCGAGATAAAGTGCCTTCTTGTTCTCTGATTTCTAACCTAAAAGTATCTTGCTCTTTCAGGATCCTTTGCCACCCAGCTGTGTAGGACGTAGGACTTTTAATTTTATATTATGCACAAGAACAAAAGTTTAAAAATAAATGTTTATTTTGTCACTTCAGTCTACTCATGTTATTATACATAGGTTATAAATTGATTCCTTCCTGTTTTATAGTTGAGCATTTTTGTCATCTGCAATAATTTTACCCAAGTGGGAGCATATGGACTGTGGAGTAAGAAGAACCTGCTTCTGCCTCTAAGTTAAGTAGGTTAATCTCGGAGAAAGTTTTATCATTTTTGAAAAAAAAAAAGCTGTTATAATTCCTGTTTTATAGAATCATTGTGAAGATTAATTGAGCAAATGTTGGGGTTTTTGTTTTTTTTTTATGTCAGAGTCTCACTCGTCAACTAGTCTAGTGTGCAGTGGCATAATCACAGCTCACCACAGCCTCGACCTCCTATTCTCAGATGATCCTTCTACCTCGGCCTCCACCTGGGAATACAGGCAAGTGCCACTATGCCTAATATTTTTATTCTTCTGTAGAAATGAGGTCTTGCTATGGTTTCTAAGCTGATCTCAAATTCCTGGGCTCAAGCAGTCCTTCTGCCTTGCCCTCCTAAAGTGATGTGATTACAGGTGTGAGCTCTAGTGCCTGGCCGAAATCTTTATGTTTTTCCAAAAGATATTTAGTGTGGTGTGTGTGTGTGTGTGTGTGTGTGTGTGTAATAAGTTTAAGGAAATAGCCATTTCATTCTTAGGCTATCATGAATTTATAATAAGCAATACTGCCTTTTATGAAATGTTTTTTCAGCATCTGTTTATTAATAGATGATCATGTGGCTTTTCTCCTCTGACCTATTAATTTTTTACGAGACTCTGTTGGCTGCCAACTTGATATCCATGCTCATTTTGTTTGTTATGAAAATTCCTCTTTTATTTAGTTAGCTGTCCATCTGGGAATTTATTTTAGCCTCACTTCAGTAGGAAATTTAGATTAGTCTTACCAATCAGGTTAGTTCCACTGTCACTTTTACTTCCCTTGCCATGTTCCTTCCAGTCATGAGCATTTGACAGAACTCAAATCTACTAGGTGTGAGAGAAAGTCTATGAGCTTCTGGGAAATGTTTGGGTCCTGGATTTTTCTTTTTTCTTTCTTTTTTAGTAGAAGTCTCACTCTGTCGCCTAGGCTGGAGTACAGTGGCACATTCATGGCCACTGCAGACTCTATCTGATGGGCCGAGGTGATCTTTCTGGGTCAGCCTTCCAAGTAGCTGGAACCACAGGTATGTCTCACAACACCTGGCTAATTGTTTCATTTATTGTAGAGACATCTCACCATGTTGCCCAGACTAGTCTTGACTCGTGGGCTCAGACAGTCCTCTCACCTCTGCCTCCCAAAGTGCTGGGATGACAGGTGTGAGGCACCACACCCAACTCCTGGTTTTTCAACCTTAGAGATTTCAACTTCAGCCCATTTATGCGTGACTGTCTCTTCTCCCTCTTGGCCAACTCTTTGGAGTTCTGCATTTTCGTATGTACCACTCTACTTGGACTGGCCCAGCAAGTAGACTAGATTGAAGGGCCAGGACTGGGACAAAGCTGATCAGGATTGGAAAGGGAGGAGGGATGCATGTTCCTAGTGTGTTTACTGGTGAGTCAGAAAATGGGTTGGAGATGAGCTCTCCCGATGAGGAGGACACAGGGAGCTAGAATCCTTGAGAATGACTTGCTGGAATGGAAACAACATTCAAGATGATCTCACAATGTTGGTGTTCCCAGAGGGAGTTTCTAATGTGGTGACATAGCTGGCTTTCCAGGAGACTGAACTCTGATCTACCTAGTTTAGGGGCAGGGGATGGGGCTACCTTTGCATTCCTGCTCTTGTGGAAGGAGCTATCTGGTTGTGCTCAGTGAACACTGCATGAGGTGATGATGGGCTCTGATTTTACAGCTGAGACTGTATGGTCACCCAAGTGTCAGGCACCTGGAAGGAAATTCTAAAGGTAAGTGGGAAAGAGAACATGTTTGTATTGTAAGGCTGTTGTGAGAGAGAATTGTCGCAATAGAGAGATCCAGATGTGAATTTGAATTCCCACCTAATTTGGAAGGCTGTTAATGTGTGCAGCCCACTTCATCTCACCAAGCCCTAGCTCGATCATATTTAAAATGGAAATAATAATGAGTACCTTATAAAATAGTATTGAGGATTAAATAAGACAGTGCTTATGATATGTTTAGGCCCTTGATCGATGAACCCCAGTGCAGTAAACAAAAAATTTAGGAGCATGTCAGTGCAGATGATTTTAAGTTAGTTTTCAGAACAACTGCTTTTTTTTGAGATATTGTGTCCAGTCTGATCTGTTTTGGCCTCAAGCTATCTTCCTGCTTCAGCCTCCTGAGTATCTGGGACTACAAACACGAGCCAACACTCCCAGCTCCACCACTGTGTGTTATCTTTCTGCTGCATTCTGCACTGCTAGGTGGTAAAGGATCCTGAAACAGGAATGATGCAGTATAACACAATTCAAAAGACACTTTTTAGAACTAGAAAGTGGGAGAACTAGAGGGTACTTTGCCTCACAGACCAAAGGACCCGAATTTCTTACCCATCAGACTTTTATTAGTATAAAATGACGTAAAGAAGCCTTCAAGAACAAAGTACAGGCAGTGCAAAGAAAGCTCCCTGTATTGATCTTAAAAGTATTTTATGATAAAGCATGACTGTTTACAAAATACATTGCAGCTGCTTGCAAGACAATGTATAACTTTTTATCTATTCTAACATATTGCACTTTTAGAACTTGCCTCAGCATACATTCCTATCTGGCTTTCCCATTATGGGCATTCATGGCTGGTTGTGACTTTGCACATATGCCAAATATGTTTACAGCAAAGTTCAAACAGAGCAGTGGTCTCCAACATTTTCTTAATATTGATCTATGTGAGAAATTGCAGTAGATAAGACCATGAATAGTTTTTACTTGTTCTCTCCTCTTTCACATCCTCTCTATACCAACTTTACCAAAAAAAAAACCTTCCTCTTGTCCATTTGATGTCTTACTGTGGAGCACAGCCTCATGATTAAAAGCTTTTAGGATGTTAAGGAAGCAGATGAAATATTAGAATCTTTATGTTAGTGTGAGTCCAAATGGCAATTAGGGAATTTTCGTCCCAGTTACATATCCTCTTATGTTTGAATTTGGTTTTGAATCCACAGGGTCTCATCTACAGGAACAAGACATTTTTGGTAACAGAAGAAGGAAATCCTAAGCTCGGGAGATCACTGTTTCTGGTAGTAGCCTGATATGAGTTACCTGATCACAGCTTCTGAGCAGTTTTAGGATAGACAGAAGACAGCACACCTCAGAGTTGTTAGTCTTTTCTTAAGAACAGAAGAGAATGGCCAAGTCCCAAGTGAGTTTTGTTTGACCTACTTTGTCCTATTTTTGTCAATGGATACGTCGAAATAGACAGTCTGGTTAAATGAGACAGTATATGTTGAGAGAAAACAGTATCTGTCGAAAAATAAGTTTAAGTTATAAGCATACAATCTAGTCAAATTACAAAGCGAGATAGGTGGTAATGGAATTTGTGCAACGTTCTTAATGCTGCTTTGAACTGTATCTTCTCTTGACAGCTGTAATAACAAGAAAAACATGAAACATGTCATGATAGCAATGAGAAGAAGGCAAGGCAATTTTTCAGGGAATGTAAACATGTCGTTGCTCTTAGATCTTAAGAAACATTTTCTCCAGGAAGGTTTTGTGGTAGATAGTGTCCTACAAATCACCCTTGTAATAAAGGTAAAGGATGTTTTATTTTGCTTTTTCTTATTGTTCCTTGGGGTCAGCTGTAAAGATAATGCCAAAGGAAAACTAGATTGGACAAAATTCTTCAAATATAGTATGCCTTGAAAATAGAGCCTTCAGGTAGTCAGACTTTATCTAGAAATAAAGCCTGGATTGTCCAGTAGAATGAGTGGGCTGCTTGAGCTTTGAATGGTCTCCCATGAAGAAGCATTCTCAACCAGATAACTGTTTTTGAATTGTCAGGAGCTGGCTGAAAGTTCCATTTTGGGGTAATAGTTGAAACACAGATACTGATAGTGTTTCTTTCTTAGCTTCTTAACATCAGGTTCAAAAATTGAAGTCATTGCCAATGATTCTGGTTTTGTCTTCATATTTTTTTTAGTGAAATTTATTTATTTTGTTTATTTTTTTGAGTCAGAGTCTCATACTGTCACCCTGGTTGGAAAGCAGTGACACTCATGGCCACCACAGCCTTGACCTACTGGACTCAGGCCATCCTTTCGCCTCAGTCTTCCAGGTAGCTGGAACTACAGGCACACACCACCACACCTGGCTCATTTATTGATTTATTGTAGATACGAAGTCATGCCAGTTTCTCAGTCTGGTTTTGAACTGTGGGCTCATGCATCCTCTTGCCTCCACCTCCTAAAGTGCTGAGATTACAGATGTGAGCCACCACACCTGGCCATAATTTTTAAATTAGAGAATGAAGTCTTACTATATTGTTCAGCCTGATCTTGCACTCTTGGCCTCCAGTGATCCTCCCACTTGGCCTCCCAAAGTGCTGGGATTACTTGTATAAAACACTGCACCTGGCCTGGTCTTCATATTTTTAATTACTAAAATGATATGTGACAATATATACATGTAAGAGATTTAAGCAAACAGAAGTATATGTATCAAAAGACAATATCACCTTTCACCCTTCTGTCCTAACCCCAACCGTTAGGATAACAAATGTTAATAGTTTGGGTTTTCATCTAATCCCTTTGTATGACATGTGGTACAATACATCCACATCTGTATGTACTTATATAATTGCATTTATTATTACAATTTTTTATGTATCTTAGATCACATTATATAATTTGGGAGCTTGATTTTTTCCATTTAAGAGAATGCCTTAAGGCTTATTGATATCCATATTTATGTACCTACCTCATTGAGTTTAACATTTGTATAGTATATTACATAGAGATACTGTAATTTAACTCTGCTTTTGTTAGACTTGAAGATTATTGATAGATTTTTACTATTATAAACGAATAATAAACATTCTTATTTTACATTGTTTTTTAGCTATGCAGATCATTGCCTTAGTGCTTCTCTTAGATTAGAAAGATTAGCAGATTCCCATGGTCCTATAGTATGTGAAATAGTCACAGTGTGCATATTTCATCAAGGAGAAGATCATGTTCCTCTACCTCTTTTCCACATCATCTGTTGATATTCACCTCAGAATGCATTGGATATGTTGTTATAGGGATCATTATCCTTCGAAGATGTGGCTGTGTACTTCACCAGGGAGGAATGGCAGTTTTTGGACCCAATTCAGAAGGTGCTTTATAAGGAGGTAATGTTGGAGAACTACGGCAATCTTGTATCAGTAGGTAAGGGTAGCATTCCAGTCAGTTACCTTTTCTTTTTTGTTTGGTGAACTCTATACGGTTCCTTGACTACCTAAACATTGCACTGAAGGCATTGTATGTCATAGACTTTTCTCTTTTTTTGTGGTAAAACATTCATAACATAAAATTTGCCATCTTAACCATTTTTAAGTGTGCAGTTCAGTGGGATTAAATGCAAATTAAATGCATTCAGTGTTGTGTTACCACCATCTCCATTTGTCTTTTTAACTTGTTTCATCTTATAAAACTGAAATTCTTCTCATAAAATATTAACTACCCATTCTTCTCCCACTATCCCCCAGTTCCTGGTGCCCATGTTCTATTTGCTGTCTTTATGATTTTGACTACTCTAGGTATCTACTATAAGTGAAAAAATACGGGATTGATCTTTTTGTGGCTGGCTTATTTCACTTAGCACAATGTCCTCAAGGTTCATCCATGTCATAACATGTGCCAGAATTCCCTTCCTTTTTAACACTGAATAATATTATTTTGTGTATATACATGCAACATGCTGCTGTTTCGTTTATCTGTGTGTGTGTGTGTGTGTGTGTGTGTGTGTGTTTGGATCAGAGTGTCACTGTTTCCTAGGCTGCAGTGGAGTGGCAAACTTATGGCCACTGCAGCATCAACCTGCTGGGCTCAGATGATCCTTCTGCCTCAGTTTGGAACTACAAGCATGTGCTACCTTGCCTGTCTTATTTTGTGATTTATCGTCAAGATGTGGTCTCACCAACTTGCCGAGGCTGGTCTCAAACCCATGGGCTCAGGCAATCCTCTTGCCTTGGCCTCCTAAAATGCTGGAATTTTAGACTTGAGCCACCATGCCCAGCCTCATTTATCTGTTAATGGATACTTGGGTTGCTTTCATGGTTTAGCTCTTGTGAATAATGCTGCTATGAACATTGTTGTGTGTATATCTCTTTGAGACCCTGCTTTCTATGCTTTTAGGTATATTCTCAGAAATGGAATTGCTAGATCTTATCATAATTCTATTGTTAATGTTTTGAGGAACTGTTTCTAAAGCAGTTGCACCATTTGACATTTCTACCAAGAGTACAGAGTGTTGCAGTTTCTCTACCTTCTTGTCAGTACTTACTGTTTTCTCTGATGGTAACCATCCTAATGGGTATGAGGTGTGTCATTAACTTTAATTGTCTTTTTTGGCCCAAAGTATATGTTCCATATCTTGAGTAAAAGGTGTTTGACAAAGTATAATTGATATGATCCCTGAAATGTAACTCTCCCATCTTCATAGATTTCCCCAAGCATATGTACTTGGTGCCAAGTGTTCAAGGTTTTGCTGTTTACAGGGTATCAAGGTACCAAACCAAATTCACTCTTCCATTTGGAGCAAGGAGAACCTTCGTGGATAGTAGAAGGAGCAGCCCATAGTCAAAAGTTTCCAGGTAAATGAGTGAAAAACTAAGAAAATGGTGAGGAATTGAAAGGATGATGCTTCTGAAATCTTGTTTAGAGAACCTTACTTGTACTATTTGATGACCTGCAAATCGAATCAACATCTGTGTATGTCTTTGTTTATTCCTAATTCGCATGCTATCAAAGTTAGTGTCTTGCTTTTTTCTATTTTCTGGATCTGATTACCGGCAGTCCATCTCATCTAGGACCCCAAGTTATCACCTGACTTCATTCTTCCCACCCTGCGCTACTTTGTCTCACCTCCTGCTCTCTACCTTACTTGCCTTGAAATTCCCTTCACTTAGATTACTTTGCCTTAAGCTTGCTCCCTCCTTAGACATAGCCTTGTCACTTTTAAAGGGCTGATTTTCTTCCCTGGTAACCACCTCTTTTTAGTTCATGTGCGAGCCCCTCACACCTCATCTCTTAGTGCCTCTCTATCTTCTTATTCACATGCTGTTCACCTGCCTTCCTAGCTTCTGTTTTTAATCTCCTACTGATTGTTCCATTAAAAGTTTTATTCACTATCAAGGCGTGAGGTCTCTGTCCTCTACTAGAGTCTCCCATATTGACATCCCTACTACTACTGATGTCTAATATGCACCCTCATCCCCTGTATATTGCCAGCCACTAGAACAGAATTTCTCCATCCTCAATATGAAAGCAGAATCCTTTCTTCCAGATGTTTCTACTATCATAGAGTATATTTATATATACTAAAGATTTAAGCTCTTCTTCTGACAGATAGCCTGAACTCTACATCTCCCTTTCTGTAGTCTCATCTACCTTCTAATTCTATATTTTGCCTGCACCCAGGACAATTATCTTGTGAATCTTTCTTTTCTCAGCTATCGTGTTAGAAACGGGGGTCACCTTTCCTCCTGGCAAATCCTACCATTCCTTGTGGATTTTATTTAGGCTCTGTTATGTTGCTCTGAACTCTGGTGGCCGGTCACCCTTGAGTCTTCCCTGTTGACTGTTCTATTTCTGAATATCTCTGCTACTTCTGTTATTTTGTATTGTTTTGAAAAGGTTTTTTGAAAATTTCACCTATTTTTGAAAGTGACTTGCAGCAATGCCCCCATTGCTACATATACTGAGTGGTTTCTGATTTTCTGTTAATTCCTTTTGATGTTATAGCTACATTCCTCTGTGAGTAGGGAGCATTAAAGCCATGGAACTTGAGGAGAAGATGTGAGGGGTGAGTGTTGGCTGAAAAAGCAAGAGGTCCCCATATATTTAGAGATTGAGAAGAACCAAATCAAGTGGAATAAGTGTCAGGATCATGGTTGGAGAGTTGGAAGATGTCCCATAAACAAGGGACAAAATTATTCCCAAGAGGTGGAGTGATATATTTTGTTGCATGCTATAATGTCAAATAACATGAGGACTAACTTCAGTGCCTTTTTATCATGTTGCATTTTTACATCCAGATACTTCCCTTTTCCACTGTGAGCTCTCTTTTGTACCTCCATGATGTAGTTTTTTGACTATAGCAGGGCACTCTGGGAATTCCACCTTCCTGACTTCTGTCTGTTTTGTGTCTATGCTGCACTGACTAGGCAATGGTTATGTATTATATGTGTATTATTTTACTGGTTGGTGTGAGGCTACTCTTTCCACATAAAGAAAAGAGTCTGTGTCTTATATTTATTTGTTTAGTGTAGTCTACATAGTAATTCACTGACACAGCTTTTTTTTTTTTTTTTTGAGTTGGAGTCTCACTCTGTCGCCCAGACTGGAGTGCAGTGTCCACTCCCGGCCACCGCAGCCTCGACCTGCTGGGGATCCGGTGATCCTTCCGCCTCAGCCTTCCAAGTAGCCAGAATTACAGGCGTGTGCTACCACGTCCTGCTGATTTATTTAGAGATGAGGTCTCGCCAAGTTGCCCAGGCGGGTCTTGAACCCGCGGGCTCAGGCAGTCCACTCACCTCAGCCTCCCAAAGTGCTGGGATTACAGACTGAGCCACTGAGCCCGGCTGACAACAGCTTTAATCACATCTTTCTTGAATGCAGACTTTCATTTGTTTCATTTCTGTTTCACACTTTTATTTTTAAGTCACAGATACATGTAGACTAAGGGGAGCATTTCCATATTAAAGGTTGTCTCCCTTGAGATGCTACTTCAGATTGGCTAGATAGGGTGAGGGACCTGAACATATGAAGATAGAAACACTTGCCAGGTGGATCTGCTTTGATCCCTATAGTTGAAAAACCAGCATTCTAAAAGACTTTGGAGAGATTTTAATGTAATGAAGGACATAGGTGCATAAAATTTAAAATTTTTGAGAGTTTGATCATGAGGCATTTTTGTATAAGGCAAGACTGTGCAAAGTGAAGTGTCAAATAGACTGTTTTACAAATGCTTGAGAGAGGAAAAAGCATTGTTTTTGTAAGCATGATCAGATAATTTCTGCAAGAAGAATAGCTGGGTTTGGAATAAAAATGATGGAAGGCCTTATTGTGGGTCATTAGTAATAGAAAAAGACTTTGGAGGAGGAAATAGAGAAAGTGATAATTGGAAATAGCTAATTGATTGTGCTTAGGAAACTTAGCAAGTAAGCAGCTGATTACTCTGGATTTTATGTTAATAATTGGCTTAGAAAGTGTGAATTTGGTTTGGTTTTGTCTTTTGTTAGTTCTAGAGAATCTTGCTTGATAGCTGGGTAGTAGCTTTGTAATAAAAGGCAGGTATAGCTTCGGGTACTATGATGAATGGAAAAGAAGACAAGTGAATGTTTTCTTTCTGCATGGGGAGTGATTCCTTAAAACCTCTTAACTGATGGGTTCCAGAGATACTGTAGGAACAGAGGTTAAGGAAGAATGTGGTAATAGTTGAAAGAAGACAATTTGGGGATGACTACATCAAGAAGATTATAATGGTGAATACAGGATTTAAAATTCTTGAGAGTTTGATTATGAGACATTTTTGTATAATGCAAAGCTGTGTTAAGGGAATTGTCAAATACACTGGGGCTGTTTTACAAATGATTCAGAGAGAATAAAGTGTTGATGGTGGTCTGTACCTGTGTGTCCAGTGTGTTGGACACTTGATCATATGTATCTACTTAAAAGTAAGTAAAATTAAAAATTCAGTTCTGTGGTAATCCTAGTTACATTCCAGTACTTAATAGTCACACTTGCCTAAAGGCTACCATGTTGGAAAACACAGATATACAACATTTCCTTCATTGCAGAAGATTCTGTTGATCAGTGTTGGACACATTTGCAGTATTATTAAACTGAGTGGCGAAGTTGATAGTTCTACTAATCAGTACACTTGTAACTCTTCTCTGGGAAAAGAATGGGTGATCCAGGTGACTATTTTTACATTCCAAATGGAGATATATCTATCTATCTAGATAGATAGATATAGAGAGAGAGATATAGATATGAGAATGTATTGAACATTGTGGAGTTGTATGTAAAGGAAAAATGTACTCTTTTTTTCTACTCTAACAGAATGTCTTTTTTTAGGGTTAAGTATGCAGACGTTGGTTATGCAGGTACCCTTGTTGATGAGGTATGCCCCTCCCTCCCCTAGAAGTTTCCCTCAACTGCCAACCCCACCCCCTCTCCCCTGACAGTTTCCCACTACTGCCTATTGCTTTCTTATAGCATTGTAGTTGTTCAAGGTCTGCTTATGAGTGAGAACATATTGTACTCTCTTCTTTGTTTCCACAATAGATCACTGAGCATGACTGATTCCAAATCCATACAGGTTGCTGCAAAGTTCATATATTTGTCCTTCTTTATGGCTGCATAATATTCCATTGTGTATATATACCACATTTTCTTTATCCAGTCCAGCTTCAATGGGCAGAATGGTTGGTTCCATGTTTTTTGCTATTGTGAATAGAGCTGCAACAAACATACGTGTATAGGTATCTTTTTTGTAGAATGACTTGAGGTCCTCTGGGTATATTTCCAATAAGGGAATTGCTGGGTTATATGGAAGGTTAACTTCTAGTTCTTTCAGAAATCGCCACACTATCTTCTAAAGAGGTTGCACTAGTTTGTATTCCCACCAGCAGTGTAGAGGCACTCCTTTTTCTCTGCATCCTCACCAACATCTCTTGTTGTTTGTTTTATTAATGATGGCCATTCTTACTGGGGTTAAGTGGTATCTCAATGTGGTTTTGATTTGCATTTCTCTGATGATAAGTATAACTGAGCACTTTTTCATGTGTCTGTTGGATGCCCATATATCTTCTTTGGAGAAGTGTCTATTCATGTCTTTTGCCCACTTTTTAATGAGGCTGTTTGTTTTTTCCCTTTTGGCACATTTGAGTACCTTGTAGAACCTAGATGTTAGGCCTTTGTCAGATATACAGTCTGCAAATATTTTTTCTCATTCTGTGGGCTGTCTCCCTCCTCTCTTGATGGTTTCTTTGCTTTGCAGTAGCTCGTTAATTTGATGAGGTCCCACTTGTCTATCTTATTTCTTAAAGTGTTGGCCTTTAGGGTTCTGAATAGGAATTGTTTTCCTCTTCCAATTTCCATAAGGGTGTGTCCTGTGTTTTCTAAGATTCTTATAGTTTGAGATTTTATGATTAGGTCTTTATTCCATTTAGAGTTAATTTTTCTGTATGGTGATAGGTAGGGGTACTGCTTCAATATTCTACATGTGGTCAGCCAGTTTTCCCAGCACCATTTACTATGACTAGGTTCTCCGCTCCCCAGTGGTCATTTGTTGAAAGCTTTGTCAAAGATGAGTTAGTTGAGAAACTGAGGTTTTGCTTCTGGAATCTTACATATTTCTACTACACTCAAGCTTGGGATATTGCAGGAACACCAGTGTCTCTTATGTTTCCTGATCGTGCCTGTTTTTTCACCTCAGTTTTGATCTGGCTGTTCCCTTTGTTTGAAATGATCTTTAATGTTCTTTGCATAACATTGGTCATTCTTATCTTACGATGTTTACTTGCCTTGTTTTTCATGTAGATTTCTAAGGTTGACATACCACTACTTTATCACCTCCTACTGTTTTTTACATTGAAATTTTCTTAATTCTTTGCTTAACTCTTAATTCTACTTACTAGCATAACAGCTCATGGAGATAGAGAATATATTATTTGTTAGCTTAGCATCTCAATATCACCCCATGCAAAGTTTTTTAAATAAATGGATCCATGCCCTCCATCTGATTATGGTCTGTGTTTAGTCTCAGTGTCTTTCTATTTCTACTTCCATCTTCATTTTGCAAGATCCTATTTGGAAAACAGCTCCAGGAATATTTATTTATGAATTATTTATAATTGCTGCTAACACAGCTTATTTCTATTTTGCTGTTTTAGTGTACTGATTTTTTTCATAGAGTATGGGATAAATGCTCTTAGACTGAGATCTCATAAGAGTCAGTCAAAAACAACAATTTTGCACCTTCTGCCCCCTCTGGGGAAAAAATGGATATTTTAATCTCTTTTCTAGAAGAAATATGAAAGGTTGACCATATGCCATGCACCAAGAAAACCAAAATGAGCTTAAAAGTTTTGAAAGATATCAGATATTATTACCCTTGGAAATAATTTTAATTTATACAAAAGTATTCTGAAATATTTTAAATTCTTTGCTTAACTATTAATTCTATTTACTAGTGTGACAGCTTCGTGGAGATAGAGAATATATTATTCGTTACCTTAGCATCTCAAATATCATCCCATGCAATGTTTTTGGATAAGTGGATCTATGCCCTCCATCTGGTTTGGACAAAAAGTACAATAAATTTGACTCATATTGTAAAAATTTGAAATTTCTTTTAGGTTTTGTTATCCTGAATCGACATTTTGCAGAAAAGGATTATGATGACTTTAGTGGATATGGGAAGTCATGTCTCTATATCAAGCATGACAGAACTCTTATCGGACTTAAATACCATAGATGTATTAACCCCGGTAACACTAAATCACAGCTCAATGACTATCACAAAACATATACAGGAGAGAAGCCATATGAATGCAGTGAGGGTGGCAAAACCTTCTCCAGGAAAGCACAGCTCGTTAGACAGCAAAGAAGCAAAAGAGGAGAGAAACCCTGTAGATGCCAAAAATGTCAAAAAATATTCATGAGAAAGATTCAGCTGATTGAACATCAGACAACTCAGAGAGGACAGAAACCCCATGAAAGTAATGAGTGTGAGAAGGCCTTCTTAAGAAAGTCGCCGCTCATGTTACATCAGCAAACTCACACAGGAGAAAAATTGTACAGAAGTGAATGTAGGAAAGGCTTCAGTAAGAAGTCCTGGCTCACTAGACACCAGCGATCTCGCACTAGAGAGAAACCCCATGCATGCAATGTATGTGGGAAAGGCTTTTCTCAAAAGGCATATATCACTGTACACCAAAGAATTCATACAGGAGAGAAACCATATGAATGCAGTTTGTGTGGGAAAGCCTTCTCTCACAAGATATGTCTAACTCTACACCAGAGACTTCATACAGGAGACAAGCCATATGAATGCACTGAATGTGGAAAAGTCTTTTCCCTAAAGACGTATCTCACTCGACACCAGAGACGTCATAGAGGAGAGGATCCATTTGAATGCAGTGAATGTGGGAAAGTCTTCTCCAAGAAAACAGATCTCGTTAGCCATCAAAGAACCGAAAGAGGAGAGAAACCCCATGGATGCAATGAATGTGGAAAAACCTTCAAGTGGAAGATTCAACTCATTAAACATCAGCGAACTCATACAGGAGAGAAGCCTTATGAATGCACTGAATGTGGAAAAGCCTATTCCCAAAAGGCCCATCTCACTGTACACCAGAGACTTCATACAGGAGAGAAACCTTATGAATGCACTGAATGTGGAAAAGCCTTTTCCCAAAAGGCATATCTCACTGAACACCAGAGAATTCATACAGGAGAGAAGCCTTACAAATGCACTGAATGTGGAAAAGTCTTTTCCCAAAGGTCACGTCTCACTCTACATAAGAGACTTCATACAGGAGAAAAACCTTATGAATGCACTGACTGTGGAAGAACCTTCTATTTTAAGTCAGCTCTTACCAAACATCAGAAAGTTCATACAGGAGAGAGACCTTATGAATGTAATGAGTGCAGCAAAGCCTTTAAAAGCAAGTCAGAGCTCATTCATCATCTGCGAACTCATACTGGAGAGAGACCATATTCATGCAGTGAATGTGGTAAAACCTTCTATCGGAAGTCCCACCTCAGTGCACACCAGCGATCTCACACTGGAGAGAAACTCTATGGATGCAGTGTGTGTGGGAAAGCCTTTTCCCAAAAGGCATCTCTCACTACCCACCAGAAACTTCATACAGGAGAGAAGCCATATGAATGCAGTGAGTGTGGGAAAGCCTTTGCCAGCAAAGTCCAGCTTGTTAGACATCAACGAGCTGAAAGAGGAGAGAAACCCCATGGATGTGATGAATGTGGAAAAACATTCATGAGGAAGATTCAGCTCACTGAACATCAGAGAACTCACACAGGAGAGAAACCCCATGAATGTAATGAGTGCAACAAAGCCTTTAGATGCAAGTCACAACTCACTCAGCATCTGCGGACCCATACTGGAGAGAGACCGTATTCATGCAGTGAATGTGGCAAAGGCTTCAGTCGTAGGTCCCAGCTCACTAGACATCAGCGATCTCATACTGGAGAGAAACACTATGGATGTGGTGTGTGTGGGAAAGCCTTTTCTCAAAAGACATATCTCAATGTACACCAGAGACTTCATACAGGAGAGAACCTTATGAATTCACTGAATGTAGTAGGACCTTCCATTTAATGACCTTACCAGACATTAGTGAATTCACACTGGAAGGAAACCTTATGAAAGTAATGAGTGTAACAAAGCTGTTAGAAGCACGTGAGAGCTCATCCAGCTTCTGGAAACTCATACCTGAGAGAGACCTTGCTCATGCATTGAATGTGGCAAAGACTGCCTACAAATCAGTCCTTACTAACCGTAAGAAAATTCCCAGAGGAGAGACAGCTATAAATCCACTGAAAGTGGAGAAACCTTCCTTAGGGAGTCATAACTCTCTATACATGAATGAACTCATACAAGGAGAAAACCCTGTGGACACAGTTCCTGTGGATATGACTTCTTCAGGTACCCAGCCCTTATTAAACTTCAGTGAGTTCTTAGGGGATAGAAATGTAGTTAATTATGGGACAGCCTTTTCCAAGAAGGCTAGCCTTTGTAGCTAATTAGGAATTTGAACAGGGAATAAGCCTTGTAGATGAAGTGAATGTGACCCCTTTGGTAATAAATTATGTCTTATCTGTTACAGATGTTGTGCAGCAAAAAAAAAAAAAAAAAAATTCTGTGATAGCTAAAAGGTGGCAAAGTCTTTAATTAGAATCGTTCAACCATTATATATCAAAGGCCTCACTTAGGGAAGAAACACTATGAATGAAGAAGTTGAACAGGGTACCTTTGTGATAAGTTAGATTTATTAAACATCACTGCAATCATATTGGGTTGAAATGCAGCAATTATGGAGAAGTGTTTGCCTGAAGGTAATATCTCAATTGGTTTCATTTCTTAGAGTACTGTTTAGGAAATAGTATGTGTTGTTTTCAGTGCTAAATTATATCTTATCATGTGTCAGAGAAATATAGAAAGGCATCTATAGAGACAATAGTTAAAGAAAATATTTTTAGTAATATGGGGTCATTCATTTACCAAAGTGAATTGCTTAAAAGCAAGAAAAAAAAGGAAATTCACCAAAGTAACTCATGTATTGTGCTTTTATACACTGGGAGTTTTGGAAAGACTCCTTTAATAAACTAACTCTTGTTTTCTTTTTTTTTTTTGAAATGGAATCTACTCTGCCACCCAGGCTGAAGTGCAGTGTGACAGTCACAGCCACCCAGACATCTACCTGCTGGTCTCTGGGGATAGGCCAGCCTCAGCCTTCCAAGTAGCCAGAATTACAGGCACGTGTTGCCACACCTAGGTAATTTTTTATTTATTGTACAGATGAAGTCTCGCCAAATTGACCAGGGTCTTCTAGAATCTTCAGACAATCCTCTCACCTCAGCCTCCCAAAATGCTGGGATTACAGGCTGAGCCTCTGAGCCTGGCCATTATATCAACTCTTAGCCACCAGTTTTTGTGATAACATAATGAAAGCCTATGAATACAATGCATGTGGATGTAAAATTTTGTTAGTTTTCTGTGGCTGCTATACCTACCTGCCACAAATTTGCTATCTTTTAACACAAATAGTTATTATGTTACAGTTCTGGAGTCTGCAGTTCAATATCAGGTCACTGGCCTCAAATTGTTGGTAGAACTGTTACTTCTTTTTGGAGGCTATAGGGGAGAGTCCCTTTCCTTGCCCTTCCAGCTTCTAGAAGCTGTCCAGATTCTGTGGTGTGTGGCCTTTCTGTGGCCTGTCAGGTCTTACATCACTCTGACACTGATTCTTCTGCCTCCCTCTTCATGTTTAAGGGCCCTTGTGGTCACTGGAAACATTCAGGTACACCAGGACAATCTCATTGTCTTAAAATAATCTGATAAGCAACCATTATTTCCTCTGCTACCTTAATTCCACTTTACCAATGTAACATATTAACAAGTGCTTGGGGATTTGGTTATGGAATCTCTGGAAGGTTATTCTGTCTAACACAATATAATTAGATGTCACAGAATTCACACTGTCATGAACTATCACCTACCCATTATGTAAATTTGGAAAAGCGTGTTCTCAGATAAGTAATTATCTATAATGACTGTGATTCAGAATTATTAACATGTTATTCTCTAATTAGGGACTCTTAGACTGAAATCGTCATATGTAAGCATAGTGGAATGCATTTTAAATATTTGAATGAAATTATCAGCATTGGAAAAGAACCTTAAATGTCTTGAAATAATATGAGATTCCACTTGTTTGAAGTGTTTCCAAACATGTTTATCTATTATTCTACAATTGTATAGATTGACATATTTTAAATATGGAATGTACTTGATATGATGTATTTTGACATCGACTAATATTTTTTTCTAGTCAGCTCCAACAATTCCTTTTCCTTTAAGTGATATATATATATATATCACTTAAATATATAAATATATATATATATATCCACATACCTTAAATGTCTTTTAAAAAATACACAAAATATATGAATTAACTTTTTCATACATTGGGAAATATGGAGCTTCTGACAGCTTTACCTAATAAAAGGAAACAAGTGAAATGAGCAAGACTATTCCAATCATTCTATGGTATGATTGACCCCACTTACTGCCTGGAAAAACTTCTGTTCTGCAGTATCGTGAGGAAAAGCCCAAACAGATCCCTGCTGTCTCTCTGAATTGAGACAGAAATTAGAGTTTGAGAAATTTAATGTTGCGTAAATTTAATGAGTCAGAGTACTGCAGATGAGATATATTCTGGCAGAAAGAATTCTAAAGAGTTTCCCCACAAGCCTTTCTGTAAGTCATAATTCAGCACTGATATGTGAGGAACCCCTGTATCCTTCTGGCTTGAGAAATAAACATTAGAAATGAACAGAAAGAAAAATGCTTGGTGATCATAGAAGTCTTAGAATAATTTTTGTTTCTACCAGCTTGACTAGAAGTGCCTCCTAACATTTGGCAGTTGATATTTAAAAGAGTATTGCTTCAATGATTCCCTCATATTAACTGGAGACTAAAGGGTGCTTTGAAGCCTCCTCACAAAGCATCCATGCAGGCCAGTACAGGACCAGATTTTCTGTGTAATTCAGAAATTTCCCAAAGCAGACACCAAGAATTAAAAGAATAAAAAGCAGTTTGTTAATCAATTTTTCCTTTTGATTTTTTTAGTCTAAGTGTCTTTCTATATACCTCCATTCTCATTTTGCAAGTTTCTATTTGGAAAGCATCTCAAGTAATACTTTTTATGGTCTATTTATAATTGTTGCTAACATTTCTTTTTTTCCCTTTTGCTGTTTTAATATACTGTCTTTTTAAATACAGCATAGGATACATTCCTCTTAGACTGAGATCTTATAAAAGTCAATCAAAACCATAACATATTTGTACCTCCTGCACCCTCTGGAAGAAAAAATGATTACTATTTTAATTGTTCTTTTTTCTAGAAGAAATATAGGAAGTTGACCATATGCAGTAGCAGTCAGAAAACCAAAATGAGTTTAAAAGTTTAGAATGATATCAGCAAATTTGCCCTTAGAAATTATTTTGATTATGCAAAATTATTGTTTCTTTAACACAAAGGTTCAGTGAGTTTGGCTCATATTGTAAAAATTTGAAATTTCTTTCAGGTTTTATAATCTGGAATAAAAGATATGCAGAAAAAGATTCTGATGACTTTGGTGGATTTGGGAAGTCATGTCTTCTTATCAAGCATGACAAAACTCTCACTGGAATTAAATACCACAGATGTGTTCACCCATGTAACAGTAAATCACAGCTCAATGACTAGACTATAACAAAATGTATACAGGAGAGAAGCCATATGAATGCACTGAGTGTGGGAAAGCCTTTTCCAGGAAAGCACAGCTCATGTGACATCAAAGAACCGAAAGAGGAGTGAAACCTCATGGATACAATGAATGTGGGGAAAACTTCATGAGGAAGATCAGTTCACTGAACATAAGAGAACTCATAAAGGAGAGAAGCCTTATGAAAGCACTGAAAGTGGAAAAGCCTTTTCCTAAAAGGCATATCTTACTGTACACCGGAGACTTCTTAAAGGAGAGGACCCTTATGAATATACTGAATGTGGGAAAGGCTTTTCACAAAAAGCATATCTCCCTGTACACCATAGACATTATACAGGAGAGAAACCGTACAAATTCAGTGTGTAGGCAGTTCTTTTCCCAAAAGGCGTATCTGATGATAAACCAGAAAATTCACACAGGAGACAAGTCATATGAATGCAGTGAGTGTGGGAAAGCCTTCTCCAGGAAAGCACAACGTGTTAGACTTCAAAGAATTGTAAGAGGAGTGGAACCACATGGATGCAATGAATGTGGAAAAGCATTCATGAGGAAGATTCAGCTCACTGAACATCAGAGACCTCACAAAGGAGAGAAACCACATGAATATGAGTGTGAGAAAGTCTTCTCCAGGAAGTCCCCGCTTGTGGTAGGTACATCGGCAAATTCATACAGGAGACAAAATATATGGAAGCAGTGAACATGGGAAAGTCTGCAGTCAGAAGTCCCGGCTCTCTAGACACCAACTATCTTTTTTTTGAGCTGGAGTCTCACTCTGTTGCCCAGACTGGAGTGCAGTGGCCACTCCCGGCCACCACAGCCTTGACCTGCTGAGCTCCAGCGATCCTACCGCCTCAGCCTTCCAAGTAGCTGGAATTACAGGCATGTGCTACCATGCCCGGCTGATTTTTTGATTTATTGTAGAGATGATGTCTCGCTGCCCAGGCTGGTCTCGAATACGCGGGCTCAGGCAATTCACTCACCTCAGCCTCCCAAAGGTGGGAGATTACAGGTGAGCCACTGAACCCAGCAACACCAGCTATCTTACACTGGAGAGAAACTATTGAATGCAGTGCGTGTGGGAAAGCTTTTTCCCAAAAGGCTTATCTCTCTGCACACCATAGACTTCATACAAGAGAGAAGCCTTATGAATGCAGTAAATGTGGAAAAACCTCCTATTTCAAGTCAGAGCTTACCAGACATCAGAGAATTCCAACAGGAGAAAAACCTTTTGAATGTAATGAGTGCAGCAAAACCTTTAGAAGCAAGTCAGAGCTCATTTGGCATCTACGAACTCATACTAGAGAAAGACCTTGTTCATGCAGTGAATGTGGTGAAACCTTTGCCCACAAGTCAGTCTTTATTGAACATTAGAAAACTCACACAAGAGAGAAAACTACACATTCACTGAAGGTGGAGAAACCTTCCTTGGGAAGTCATACCTCTTTGTACATGAATGAACGCATAGAAGGAGAAAACCTGATGAACACAGTACTTGTGGAAAGGCCTTCTTCCAGTACCCAGCCCTTATCAAGCAAGTCCTTGTCAAGTGAGCTATTAGAGGATAAAATTTCATTAATTATGGAACAGGCTTTTCCAAGAAGTCAAGCCTTAGTAGCTAATCAGGAATTTGAACACAAAATAATTCTTCCAAATGAAGTGAATGTGACCCCTTCTGTAGTAAATTATGTCTTATATGTTACAGATGTGTATGAAGTATTCCTCTGACACCAGAAATGTGGAAAAGTCTTTAGCTAGACTCCTTCAATAATTATATGTCCTAGAGCTCACTTGGGGAAGAAGCACTCTGAATCCAGAAGGTGAAGAGGACACCTTTGTGATAAGTTAGATTTATTAAACAACAATGCAATCATGTGGGGTAGAAATGCAGCTATTACAGGGAAGCCTTAGCCTGAAGCTTGTAATCTCAGTTGGTTTCAAACCTTAGAGGAATAGTAAGGAAGTGATGTGTGGTGTTTTCAGTGCTAAATTGTACCTCTTCATGTGTCAGAAACATAGGCACCTGTAGAGACAATAGATGCTGAAAATATTTTTAGTAAAATATGAGAGAAGTTATACAAAAGTGAATTGCTTAACAGCAAGAAATAAAGGAAATTCACCAAACTGACTCATATATTGTACTTTTATACTTTGGGAATCTTGGAAAGACTCCTTTAATCAATTAACTCCAATTAACACCAGCATTTGTGTTACCTAATGAAAGCTTGTGATGAAAATGCATTTGGAAGTACAACTATGTCCCTTTTGTAAAGCTGCTATACCTAACTACCACAAATTTGCTATCTGAAAAACAACAAACAGTTATGGAGTTCTGGACCTCTGCAGTTCAATATCAGGTCACTGGCCTCAAATTGTTGGCAGAACTGTTATTTCTTTTTGGAGGCTGTAGGGGAGAGTCCCTTTGCTTGCCCTTCCAGCTTCTAGAAGCTGTCCAAATTTTGTGGTGTGTGGCCTTTCCATGGCCAGTCAGCTCTTACGTCACTCTTACACTGATTCTTCTGCCTCCCTCTTCATATTTATAGGCCATTGTGGGTGTGCTGGAGACATTTATGTAAACCAGGATAATTTCACTCTTTTTTTTTTCTTTAAAAAATATGTTTTATTATATTGTGGAGTACAGTTAAGCGTTAGGTATACAAATATGCCTCATTCAGGCACCCTTGTTGATAAGAGGTGCCTCCCCATCCCCAGGCAGATATTTACTACCATTAATCCTATCTCCCTTCCCCTCCCTCACAGTTTCCCACCACTGTCAGTCATTTTGTTATAGTATTACGTTGGATGTTCAAGGTCCACTATATGATTGAGAACATGGATGCTCAGATCTTTGTTTCTGTGAGAGATCACTCAGTATTATAGACTCTAATTCCATCCAGGTTGCTGTAAAATTCATGATTTTGTTCTTTTTTATGGCTGCATAGTATTC